AATATTACTGGTAAAATTATATTAGCATTTTCTTTTTGTGCACAGTAATATTGATATATAATATAATGTGTATTGCTTATTTAGTAAATTCTAGTAGTTTAGAGATTTTGATATTTTTTTGTAAAATTTAAAAGAATAATTAAATAAATGTTACTACACCCAAAAATCCTTTTTTTTCTTCAGTGCAGAGGACTGGAGACTGCATCTCTGGAATTATGAAGTGTAGATTTTCAGTCWTCCAGAACATGATCATTTATGATTTCATTTCTCCTTATTTGGACCTGGATCATCCTCAGGTAGCATCCCACCTGTTTTAGCTTCCCTTCAAAGGCTCCCAGTTTTAGAATTTTACAATTTTAGTTTTAATTTTCAGCCATTTTTCTTGTTTGTTTTAATTGAGATTTGCCCATTATTGTGTTTAATTTTACACAACTTCCTATCTGTTTGGAACTGGGATCATAGTTTTTATGGATTCATTTGTTGGTATAAAAACATGACTTTTTGACCTTTGTGGTGTGAGAATTTCTAAAACTGGAGAGTTTTAAATCAGTTTTTATTRATTTTAGGAGCTTAAAATTATCCATGAAATGTCCAAATTGTTTTAGAAGAGAAATGTCTTTTTTTTTTAACAGAACTGGACCTTGTGGTGGGCACAGCTCCACCTGGACAATAAAACAGTTGATGAGGTGAACATACTTCAGATGTGAGAGGCTCCATACAGAGAGGTTCTACTGAGTTCTGCTGGGCCTCAGGGGAAGTCCTGGTCAGKTCTCAGGTTCTGAAAGTGTCTGGAGGCCAGGCAGAGGCAGGGGACCTGAGACCGGCTCATGGCTGCTCCTCAGAGTCCTGAAGAGGCTGGAAGTGAGCAGAGACACCATGAGGTCAGGTTAAAGGGTCAAAACACAACAGACTGGACCTGGACCCAAAACAGGACCAGATCCTCCTCAGCTGTGGGTCTCAGACAGGACTGGACCTGGACAGGATCAGAACCTCAGCTGTGGGTCTGACAGGACTGGACTGGACAGGATCAGATCCTCCTCAGCTGTGGGTCTCAGATAGGACTGGACTGGACCTGGACAGGATCAGATCCTCAGCTGTGGGTCTCAGACAGGACTGGACTGGACTCTGGAGACGGTCTGGACCCAGAATAGCTCCAGATCTCAGTACTGGTTCAGCCCGCGGCTCAGAGAGAAACGTGAATCTATTGTTGTGGAACAGCAGTCAGACAGGTCAGGACTGGATCCTGGACTGGACCCGGGACTGGACCCTGCACCTCTGTGTGAAAAACGTCCCGCTGATGTTTTTGTTTACAGACAGAAGCGCATCATCATCATCATCATCATCATCATCATCATCATCATCACCCTGCAGGTCCAGCAGCAGCAGCAGCTCTTCTCTGCAGTTACAGAAGGTGACGTGTTCATTTTAAATTTAAAAACCAAGCCGGATCCGAGCCGCTGCTGCTTCTTTCCTCCTTCTTCTTCTTTTAAACCATATCCCCCTGAGCTGCAGCTGACGCCTGCTGGAAACCAAACCGCGCTAACAAAAGATGCCTTGCTTGTGTTAAAGATCTGTTTCAGGCAGCCCTGAGCCCGTCCTCAGTCTGCGGTCAGTACAGTAATTCAACAAATCAAACAAAGAAGCAAAGGAGGAGCAGAAAAACAAACCACCCTCACCCCTTCTCCTCGCTTTATTGTCCTGTCAGGCGGGCCTCTGCACCATCGATTCTCACTCAGTGGTCCTTTCAGATGCTAAAGGAGGAGAGGGAGGAGGGAGAGGAGGGCACTGGGTGTGAGAAACACACACACACACACACACACACACACACACACACACACACACACACACACA